GCATGAGAAAATAAATATTAATATTCATAAATGGTTGAAACATAAAGGATGAAAAACTAGCAAGTATAACTTTTCAATCGCTGTCAGATTCACCAAAATAAGTTAACCACGGTAATTGTTTAACTGTGTTGTCAAGTTCACTGAGCACCTCACGTGCTCTCGATAGCAGCGCAGCTTCACTCTCATTGGCCGGAGGACCTGAAAAACAAAATTGTACCATAACATCACTACAAATAGCAGTTTTAGGAACCATTCTGCAGGGATATCTTGGAAATCTTTGAAACATACCTTCGTGAACCATGTCAGCGAGAATACAAACTGCCTTGATCTGCCGTCTCATTCTCTTCAAGAGTATTCCTGCTGGTGTTTTCTGTAACTATTTACTGTTATTTCATGATTATGACATACTCTAGCTGATAAATTGAAGACTTTGAGAAAATGTTGTGAGGAATTAAGAAAAAAACATACCGAGTTCACTTCAGGTATCCATGTTTTCGGATCANGGTATCCATGTTTTCGGATCACGATTTCCACGGACTAAAATATAATATTTCAATTGAATACAAAAGAAGTTCTAAGATTTTCATATGGAAAACCAAATACTCAGCATACCTGAATCACGGTGGAGGAGATCGTCAAGCTCTTCTATATGATGGAAAGTAGTTTTGTTTAAGAAATTTCGCGTGTTCAGATTGCTGTAGAGGTCCCTATAACATATAAATAGCACAACGAACAGAGAAGAATAAAATAGAAATAAAACACTCACTTTTTTATATAATCAGTGCGAAGGACTTTGAAGGTGGGACGAAGGGAAACAGCTTCTGGCTGAAATGAAATGTTTATTCAACATATAGTGAACATACAAGAATTTTGTGATTGAAGTGAAACTTACAGAATGGTAACGAGGAGCCATGTTAGTAATATGAATCACTTTGCAGGAGTCAACAGCGATCTAAAAACGAAACCGATTAACTCGAGAAAAAGTAGCGAAAATCGATGGAATACTCAGAGTTGAAGGAAATAATAATAACCATAACAGTTAATATAAGGACGCCATGTAGGCAGATTCCCGCCAGAAGATCTTGACACTTAAACGCGTTAGGTCAAATTTGAATAGCGATGGAGTGAGAATGAGCGTCTGTGAGCAAAAACGCAGAGGAAGGCGGGAAACTACCTACATGGCCTCCTTTCATTCCTCTTTCCTTCCTCTGCTGTTCCGCTCACAGACGTTTTGTTTTTAGATGGCTGTTGACTCCTGCAAAGTAATTCAGACTACCAACATGGCTGCTCGTTACCATTCTGTAAGTTCCACTTCAATCACAAAATTCTTGTATGTTCACTATATGTTGAATAAACATTTCATTTCAGCCAGAAGCTGTTTCCCTTCGTTCCACCTTCAAAGTTCTTCGCACTGATTATATAAAAAAGTGAGTGTTTTATTTCTATTTTATTCTTCTCTGTTCGTTGTGCTATTTATATGTTCTAGGTACTTCTACAGCCATCATGACCCGCTAGTTGACTTAAACAAAGCCATTTTCCATCATATAGAATAGCTCGACGAACTCCTCTACCGTGATTCAGGTATGCTGAATATTTGGTTTTCCATAAAAAAATCTTTCAACTATCCCTGTATTTTTTTGAAATATCATATTTTAGTCCGTGGTAATCGTGATCCGAGAACACGGACACCTGAAGTGAACTCGGTATGTTTTTTTCTTAATTCCTCATAACATTTTCTCAAAGTCTTCAATTTATCAGCTAGAGTATGTCATAATTATGGAATGACAGTAAATAGTTACAGAAAACACCAGCAGGAATACTCTTGAAGAGAATGAGACGGCAGATCAAGGCAGTTTGTATTCTCGCTGAGATGGTTCACGATGGTATGTTTCAAAGATTTCCAAGATATCCCTTCAGAATGGTTCCTAAAACTGCTATTTGTAGTGATGTTCTGTAACAATTTTGTTTTTCAGGTCCTCCGGCCAATGAGAGTGAAGCTGCGCTGCTATCGAGAGCAATTGAGATGCTCACTGAACTTGGCAATACAGTTAAACTAATACCTGGGTTTCCTGATTGCCAAGCTGACAGCAACTGAAGAGTCATACTGGCTGGTTTTTCATCCTTCATGTTTTAATCTCATTTGTATTTAAGGATTTTGAACATCTTTCCTACACGAATTCTTGGGACATCTCCATTTTTCTTTTAATGTAGTTATGGCGGCTGCTAATGTTGTAGGACCAGCCTATGTTCTCTATACTATCCCAGACTATAGGAAAGCCATCATAAGACTTCCCAAAGGATTCAGCAAAAGTGATATACAAACCATCACTCGGTCATCATGAAAAANGGTATCCATGTTTTCGGATCACGATTTCCACGGACTAAAATATAATATTTCAATTGAATACAAAAGAAGTTCTAAGATTTTCATATGGAAAACAAAATACTCAGCATACCTAAATCATGGTGAAGGAGTTCGTCGAGCTCTTCTACATGATGGAAAGTAGTTTCGTCTATGAAAACTCGCGTGTCAGGATGGCTGGCGATGTACCTACAACATATAAATAGCAGAACGAACAGAGAAGAATAAAAGAGTAATAATCTACTCACTTTCTTGTATAATAAGTGCGAAGGACTTTGAAGGTGGAACGAAGAGAAACAGCTTGTGGCTGAAATGAAATGTTTATTCAACATATAGTGAACATACAAGAATTTTGAAATTGAAGTGAAACTTACAGAATGGTAACGAGGAGCCATGTTAGTAATATGAATCACTTTGCAGGAGTCAACAGCGATCTAAAAACAAAACGTCTGTGAGCGGAACAGCAGAGGAAGGACAGGTGAATGAAAGGACGCCACGTTGGGAATTTCCCGCCTTCCTCTGCTCACAGACGCTCACTCTCACTCCATCGCTATTCAAATTTGACCTAACGCGTTCGAGCTTCAACTCTGAGCTTTCTACAGATTTTTTCTACCTTTTTTTCTCGAATTAATCAGTTTTGTTTCAAGTTTGCTCCTGCAAGGTAACTCATACTACCAACTCCTTGTTTCCATATTCCAAATTTCTAATTTTTTTGTTTTTGTTCATTTTTTACTATACATAATCTAGAATCATAAGATGCGATTCGGATTATCGGACTGTTTTAAAAGATACTATGAGAAACTACGTTGAAGTACTAGACAATCTGATCCACCACCTGTCTGGTATGAAAAATTCTTTGTTTTTTTTATTTAACAATTTCAAAACTATTCAAAAAAAAATGAAGAAGGTTTTTTTTCAGTTCGTGGTTTACGTGGGCTACGGATACCGAAAGAAAACTCGGTATGTTTTTTTCTCTGGAGACTGGAAACTGGGACTGGAGCATCTCAATGTTCCTCAGAAAAATGAAAGAACAGGTCAAGGCTATATGCCTTGTCATGGACGCAGGCGAGACTGGTATGTTTTGAATGTTTTTATATTTGCTTTTTGCACTGATGATATGTAATCATTTTGATATTCAGATCCTCCGACTAATCGGAATGAGGAAGAGCTCTTTGAGAGAGCACATGATGTGCTCACTAATCTCTATTTGAGCATCTCTCCTCCGGAGTCCAGTCCCGAGTCTAATACCACCACGGACACGGACTGATGGCATGGCTGCCAGCATCTAACTCACTGCACTTTTTGTTATATCTCCTTATCTATCTTTCTCCTTCTCCTTGCATACTGTTTCTATCCAATAGTTCGTTTTTAAATGAATTTTTGAAATTTTTGGAACTGATTAAATGATTCTCTGTATCTTCCTCTTCTTTACCAACTCAACATCTCAGATTCTCTTTCATTCACATATAACTCATGATCATCTTGTTGTTTGACACTCATCTTCAATATGCTTTTCTTC